AACGTTCCTGGAAGAGTTTCTCCTGAGTCCAGAGGCCCCCAGACATGTGCATGCTGACCAGGTCCGCCTGAATAAACTCCCCTTGCCCACGAAGTTGTCTGAGTTCGGCTTTTACAGGATCCAGGAAAGCGAAACCTTGCCATCCATGGTGTGCTGCTGCTGCTAACTCCTGCTGTCTCCTCACTCCTCTATGTATAACCTTCTTCAAATCTGGCATACTGGCTTCTCTGAGATCTACAGGGAGCCCCCGAGGATCTTGCCACTGCGAAAAAGAACTGGCCTTCCAGCCCAGTCTGCGAAGCGTCTGCACAACCGCTCCTGCTGGGCCTATGACGGCCGCCCAACCCTTTGTCTCTCTCTCCAGAGCCGCCGTGAAGATACGAGACATGAGTTTCTCTGGGATCCACTGCTGATGCAACGCCTGCCACCATGTGACCAAGGGTAATGTGTTGACAATATATGATGGATCTAGATCCGCTGGATCTGCCAGAAGGAATTGCACCGCTCGGGATCGGCCTTTCGCCTTCCCGAACAACGCGAAACCAGAGACTGCCCTGATATCTTTCAAATCCTTATCCGTCATCCCCATCACCCGCACCCCGTAAGTAGCTGCTGAGATCCCTCCCGTCCTGTAAACCTTCGCTAAACCTTTGCTATGATGTCGTAACGCTCTAAACCGATGCGCTCGTCGTCTTAGCTTGCTGACCCTGCCCTGAATGATCTTCTTGCCTTTGCGAAGCTGCAGACTGAAATCATGGCCAAGATTCTTGACACTGGCATAAACTGCAAACCGAAAAGCACGTACATCACGGCCTAACTTTTCTGCCACGGCAGGGCAGGAGGACATCACCTGGCACTTCTTCTTAGAAACGACTAACTCGAGCTTCTCTAGCTGCCTGCAAAGATCTGGATTCGCCTTCGCTAGCAAAGCTCTTACTCGCTGGGCTGATCCAATCGCTGCCAAGGTGATGTCGTCTACCATGACATACAAGGTGAGGGACGGCCAGCGCACCTGCATGTACTCTAGCGCGTCTTGCACTACTACCCTGAGCATGGTTGTGGCAAACGAGCAACCTGCGATAATTGACCGTGTCAGTATGATGATGGCGGATATCACCTCCCGAACCTTGTGCCTCCTGGGGCCTCCATATACCCTGATGAGCAGACGGGCCCTTCTCAAGTTGAAGCCGTGCTTCCTACGCGCTTGCCACAAAACATCGTGAGGGATCTTCTCATAACACTTCTCTAGATCGACCAAGCCTGAAGCCGAGCACGCGCCGGCCGACGTCGCAGCTTCTGAAACAGCCGCCTGTTGCCGCACAGCGCGCTCGCAGCTCTTGCCCTTGGCCCCATAAACACAAGCAAGGTCGCGCTCCCTCTCCCATTGCTGTGCTTCACCCCTCCGTATCCTCCCCAATATACGAATGCATGTTGCGAGCGCTCCTATTGGCCTGAAACCGCCATCTGGCTTCTTGAGGAACGCAATCAGGGCGAGGTCGCACTGATCTGGAATCAAAAACTCCGATTCTATCACCGACAAGAAAAGGCCAAAAACCCTCAAGGCATCGTCGCTGAGGAACTGCAGGACCTTTGGGCTCCACCCGTCGATGCCTATGGCCGTGCCTTTCTTGAACTTCTTCAAGACTGCCCTGATTTGTTCTGCTGTTGGGGCTGGTGGAGGGGCCTCAAGAGGAAACTGAAGGTCGCGACTGCCAAGCCTCTGGGGTTCTCCAGCATGCCAGATCTCCTTCCACTCCGAGACGAGCTGCTTGACCGCGTCGACGGGCCCAGCTGGGCCCTCGGATGGCCCCTTGGGGTCGGGGGCCCAACCTTGAGGCTCCTTGGTCCATTTGTAGAGCCCTCCTCCTCCTGAGTCCAGGGATTGGTAAACCCAGGTCCTCCACTCCTTCGTCCTGCTCTTCTTAAACTCAGCCTCCTCCAAGTCCGCGATGGCCCGAACGGCCTCCAGGGCGGACTGGACGTCCTCGATGACGCTGTGCCGACCTAGCGTGAGCCTGTCGTGAAACCCGCGCCAGCCTGCATGGTCCTTCAAATTGGGGTGCCTCCAGAGGATCCTATCCAGAAGTTCCCGAACTCCTCGGTCGTCCCAATAGTGGTTCTTGCCCAGAAGAAACCCCAGTTCTTCCAACCAAACCTGATACTTCCGAATCGCCCTGGCAGCTTTCGAGCACTTTGGAAACGGCCCCTTGATGTGCTCCAGAATCGGTTTCTCGACGATCTTATAACCAGTACCCCTCCCAAGATACTTAGCCCGTTCGTTCTCTGGAATACACATCACGTCGCAAAGCTCGGCCTCCATGCGGGTGCACAAGAGGCCGTGCAAGTCTGTGAAACTCTTCGCCGACATCTCGCCAGCGAGCCCCTCGAATAAACTCGAAAGACACTGCCAATCCTGCGGCGGTGGGACTGGTCCTATGGGCCTCTCGACTGGGAAAGGCATCGGCATCTTCAAACATTGCTTCGTCTGAGTGTGGGCGTTAACACCCAACTCCAGACGCACTGGGAAATGAGTCTTATTGGCTGAACTTACCACTCTCTGGCACGACTTGACCACTCCAATCAACTCATGTGAAACGATACAGAAATCTAGTTCCCTCCAATCTTTCCCAACCCGACAAGTCGGTTTGTTGCAGCCCACGACGATACCCCTCATCCTGGAAACCGACTTGGCCTGCTGGACCTCCGAAGGTAAACTATTGAAATCCCCCGAGACGATGAAGGGCCTCCTGGAAGCATACAAGAACTCTCCCAACTGGTTCATTATTTGCTGCCCACGAGCTCCTGATATGCATTCTCCGTCTGGAAGATAGACTGTAGCTAAGTAGAAGCCTCCCTTCACGCAGCCGTTCACCCACACGATCGAACAACGCGAATGGAGAAGATGAGAATGATGTCCCTGGACTTCACCGACGCCGACACAACTGCGCACACTTATGCCGACTCCTGAGGACACTCCCCCTCGATCAGTTTGCACTCCTGGTGACAACCTAAGTTTCCACCCTTCGCTCGTCATCGACTGTTCCTTCTGCGAGACGCTATCCTTCAAAACTCTGCATTCCTGGAGGCAGATGATAGAATCGTCGCGCATCAGGGGGTCGGTGAGAAGTGAAGCCGTGCCAGACCATCCTGAAGTGTTGGCTGCGACTATCCGCCACACCGTTCTTGAACTGGTACTGGTATCCCGACGCGCGGCGGCGCGTGGGCTAAAGATCTGACTGGTCCTCTGGAGCCTGGCCGCCCTTGCCTGCCCCTGGGCCCTTGCCCTCGATGAGCGGGTGGCTGCCGACCAGCTTGCGGGCGTGCTCGCGCAGTTCCGCCGCCGACTTGGCCGTGCCCTTGCCGAACGTCGGCGGCGCTGGGGGCGCCTCGGCGCGCGGCGGCGGCTCGGCGGCGGCGTCGGCGCCTCCAGCTGCTGCTGGCGCCGCGGCCTGGCCGTTGCCTGCCTCCGTCGCCGCTGCAGCGCCTCCGCCCTGGTCGCCCGCGGCCTCCTGGCGGCGGCGCTTCGCCTGCAGGCGAGCCTTGAGCTCCTCATGCTCCTTCTTGCACTGCTCTGCCTTCTTCTTGATTTCCCCGAACATCGACTGTGCCAGGGTCTGGAACTGCTCCTTGAGTAACTGCTCTCGCTTCTTCGCCTCCTCGCGGTCTTTGTCGGCCACGTCCACGTAGTCCGACAGCCCGAAGAGGTCCTCTCCGCACGTGAGGTCCCATTGGGCCGTGCCGCTGAGGAGGTCCTCCAGCCGCACCATGGGCGCCTTCGCCTCTGCCACAGGAGTGACTTCAGCGTGGAGCTCACGGATGGCCTCCTTGTAGATCGCCTCCTGCTGCTCGATTTGGCCCAGCAGGGACGCGACCGTGCCCTCCTGCTTGGTGACCTGCTGCTGCAAGCCTTCCAAGACGCCCGACTCCTTGGCCAGGTCGTTCTCGAGCTGCTTGATTGTCTTGTGAGCCTGGTCCGCCCGTACTTGTGGCGACACCAGCTGCTTGTCACGGATGGCCAGCACCTGCTGGTAGTACTCGACCATGCCACTGTTGTTGCTCTTCTCCCCGAGGGACACGAGCTGCTTGATCTCTGCCACTGACAGCTCTGGGACGGGGTCAACTCCACCTTGAAGCCCGACTGGACGAGGTGCGCTGCCATGGCCCCCGCCAGCACCAGGACTAAAGAGGCCTGGAGGAGGCTCCACGTCCTTGCCCTTGCCCTTGGTCTTCTTGGGCTTGCCCGTCTTCCAGTGGCGACTGCAATGCTTACACCATGCTTCTGACATTGCCGTTTTTCCGCACCCGCAGTGTGAGCATCTCCAGATCGACGCGTCATGCCAGCCTCCTGCCATCTCGCGTCTTCCAGAGAAGGTGTTAAATTCACTGAGCCTGAACGGAACGTAGTCAGTGTAGGACTCTCACCCTGGGCAGGGCCTCTGATCGAGAGTCGTGCGGGTCCCTCGACCACCTTGAGCCCCGACCCCAGGGAAGGCGAAGGCCCCAGGCAACGGCTTGAGCCAATGTCTACGGATCTCTCCTCCTCCCCCTCCTCCTCCTCCTCCTCCTCCTCCTCCTCCTCCTCCTCCTCCGCGTCCTCCTCCTCCTCCTCCTCCCTCTCCTCCTCCTCCCTCTCCTCCTCCTCTCTCCTCCTCCTTCCTTCCTCCTCCTACTCCTCCTGCCTCCTCCTCCTCCTCCTCTCCCTCCTCACCTCCCTCCTCCCTCACATCCTCCTCTCCTCCTTCCTCCTCCCCCTCCTCTCTCCTTCCTCCTCCTCCTTCCTCCTCTCCTCCTCCTCCTCCTCACTCCTACTCCCCCTCCCCCTCCTCCTCCTTCCCTCCTACTTCCTCCTCTCTCCTCCTCCTCCTCCTCCTCCTCCTCCTCCTCCTCCTCCTCCTCCTCCTCCTCCCCCCCTCTGAGCGAGGCGGCCGCCTGGCGGCGCTGGCTCGCCAGCTTCCTGGACGTGCTGCTGCGGCGCGGGGCCGCGGGCCTCGCCGAGGGAGGCGTGTCGCAGTCGCAGTCGCTGCAGAGCGGGCACCCGCAGGCGGGGGGCCCCATCGCGGCGTGGTCGGCGTCGGGGGGGGGGTCGGGGGTTCGAAGCTCGAGGCTCGAGGCTCGAAGGGCGGTCGGGGGCTCGAGGCTCGAGGGGCGGAGGTGCGGAGGTGCGGGGGGGAGGAAAACAGTGAATGCTGGCAATTGGTGCCTTAAGGTCTTGAAGGTCTGAGTTGTGGAGGTACGTTGGCACCCCTCCCTACGGCCGTCTTCGCTGGCCGAGGGGCCGCGAACGGAGAGGGGGAGGAGGTGGAGGAGGTGGGCGTGGCGGCGTCGCAGCCGCAGACGCTGCAAAGCCAGTCGTCGCCGTCGTTGTCGCCGCCGTCGCTCGTCGTTCGCCGCTGCCGCCATGTCGACGCTGGCGGCGTTGTCGCTGCCCTCGCCGTTGTCGCCGTCGCCGTCGTCGTCTTTGTCGTTGTCGTCGTCGTCTTCGTAAATGTCGCCGTGGTTGTCATCGTCGTCGTCGTTGGCGTCGTCGTCGTTGTCGTTGGCGTCGGCGTCGGCGTCGGCGTCGGGGGTCGGCGTCGGCGTCGGGGGTCGGCGTCGTCGTCGGGGGTCGTCGTCGTCGTCGTCGTCGTCGTCGTCGTCGTCGTCGTCGTCGTCGTCGTCGTCGTCTTCGTCAGTGTCTTCACATTCCTGCTCCCTCGTCCCTCGCTCTCCTCCCCCCATCCCTCCTCCCTTCTCCAAACCAGAAAATGTTGCGTCGCCTCCGTTCCCTCGCCTCCTTCCCTGCCTACCCCATCCTGGCTCCATGCCTCCGCTGTAGGCTTTGTCGCCGATGCGGGCCTTGGGAGCTCCCGCCCCATCCCTGCAGCATGTTCTGTTTGGTGCACCGTTTTTGTCGCTGGCGACCCCAGAGGCTGACCTGCAGGCGCAGATCACTGTCGCGATTGCTTCGTCCATACGAGACGCACGGAGGGATGCGCCCTCCCGCCACAGTCGGCCCTACCCACCTCTCCTCTGGCAAGCCCCGGCCAGCATGTGGGGGCGAGGGGCATCCGGCCGCGGCGAAGACGGCGCCCCTCAGCCCCCCCGAGACCAGGACACAGACTCACCAGGACACTGGCAAGTCTGGAAAACAACACGCTCTCCTGCACAGTCAGATTTTGGTCCTCCAGTGCATGTTGTTTCCCGCTGCGCTTGGTCGTCCGGTGCATGGTTCTGCTGCTGCACTGCAGGATTCGAGTCTTTGTCCAGGTCTGGGGACATGTTGCAGGCTTTCATGGCCTTTGTCCTGGTTTATTCTGGGAATGTTGCAGCGCAGTTGTTTGTCCGTGTCGCCCTCTTGTGCGATGCACTTTTCTGTTCGTGCCGCCGTCGGGGAAAAATTGCTTCGACGTATGTTGGATATCCTGGTCTAGCGTGTCCGGGTTTAGGGGTCCCTGAGCCCCAGGAGGCACAGCAAGTTTCAAATACGTCCAGCGACCTCGGCTGTCGATTCTCATCCCTCGGCGGTCGAGCCCCAGTATACCACGAGGAGAGCACGAGGGCAGGGCGGACCCGCTCCCCCTCCGTCGATGACCAGCGTCGTCGTGAAATCCCCTAGGAGGCCTCCGGAGGGTTGGAGCGGCCTGAGAAGGGCTAACGACTATGAAACACAAAGCAAAGCGAGCGATCTTTCCAGACATGCGACGTCCAGAGTTGTTCAGTACAGAGCCCCTGGAAGTCCAAACCCTTTCCCCAGGACCGGTTTTTCATCCTGAGTCGTAGTTTGACGCTCCCGAGGCCCGGCGAGGACCCCCCGAGGCCGAAATTGGCCAGAAGCCTCCTGTCCTGAATTCTTGACGACGCGGGCCTTTCTGGGACTACGGAGCACAAAGCGAAGCGAGAGCTCTCGTCGAGCCTCGAGCCTCGCTTCGGCCCTCGGTCCGCCGAGGTGCACCTGCTCCTCACGCGCCTGGCGCAGGTGGAGGACAAGCCCGTGCTGGAGCCCGAGCTGCTGAGCCAGCTGCCAGCTCTGTACGACAGCGTGCAGGGACCCCGGCTCCGCCGTCGTCGTCGTCGCCGCTGTCGTCTTCGTTGTCGCCGTCCTCGTCGTCGTCGTCGTCGTCGTCGTCGACGTCGACGTCAGCGTCGTCGTTGTCGTCTTCCTCGTAGTCCTCGTAGTCCTCGTCTTCGTCCTCGTCGTCGTCGTCGCCGCCGCCGTCGTCTTCGTAGTCGCCGTCCTCGTCGTCGTCGTCGTCTTTGTCGTCGTCCTCGTTGTTCTCGGCGTCCTCGGCGTCCTCGTCGTCCTTCTCCTCGTTCTCGTCGTCGTCGTCGTCGGCGACTCGGCTAATTTCGCTGACCTTTCGCTGGAGTTACTCCTGACGCGGGCCCGAGGGATTGGAGTCGGCTGGGGGTGCGAGGTGGCCCAGCAATGGTCCTGGCCAGCAGGACGGGGGGCGAGGAGGAGGAGAAGGAGGAGAAGGAGGAGAAGGAGGAGAAGGAGGAGAAGGAGGAGAAGGAGGAGAAGGAGGAGGAGAAGGAACAAGTGAGTTGGAGTGAAACGCTGTATCAGATGGACCCCGGGAGGGGTCCGATGACTGATTTCGAGCCGATTTTCTCAGGGACCATCCGGCCCAGACCCTCCCGCCGCTTCCAACCAAAGGGGCCCGTCCAAACCGGCTTGCGCGCTCGGATTTGACCTCCCCCATTGCCTTCCTGAAGCCGCGCACCAAAGGTCCCTCTTGCTCAGGGTCTCTCTAGCGCGTCAGCGGACGACGACGAGAACGACGACGGCGACGGCGATGGCCCAGCCGCATTGGTTCCGCGCGTCTGGAGAGGTCCGCCGTCGTTGGACGATCTAGGATCAACGCTTTTTTACGTCTGATCGGCCTGGCCTGCGCACCTAGCGCATCGCCACGTTCTCCTGCAGAGCGGCCTCGCACTCCTGCCGCGCCGAAGGCCCCTTTCCTGTCGCCGTCTCCAGCACCCCGTCGCCGTCTCCAGCACACCTTTTTTTTCCCATCCGTTCCCCATGCGTCCCTCCGCGGACGGCGAGGTCAGGCGGTCGGCAGTCAGTTGTGGCAATTGCTCCAGGCCGCCTAAACGGGGTCCGAAGAGATGGGGGTTGGAGGACGCGCCGCATCGCCGATGCATCGGCGATGCTGGTCGACGCGGAGCCCGATTTTCTTTCCTGAATTGGCGACGCTGCGCGAGCTTGCGACCCCACCTGCTCGGACCCCACCTGGGAAGTCTCCTCTTGTGTCTTTGTCTGTTCGGTCCTGCGAAGGTGTGTCCCTGCAGGCCCGAAGAGGGTTGGCAACGTTCACACACACACAGACTCCGATCGGGAGCCTTGAGACGGGGTCACGGCAAACGGGGGTCAGCTAGAGCGCCAGACCTTGCAGGATCGTGCAGAACCATGGTTGCATTGACCTGGGCTAGCGCGCAGGACCCTGCAGGATCTTGCAGGATCTTGCAAAGTCTGACTGAGTTAGCATCAACCTGGGTCAGTGCGTCCCCGATCCGATCTTCGGGCCTCGCAGCGGCTGACGCTGCTGCGCGCTCTGCGCTCCCCCTCGGGCGTGCGGGGTGCGGAGGGAGCCCCCGCCCAAGGTCGGAGGACCTGGCGCGGGGGGACCTGGCCGTGCGCTGGGACAGCGGCCAGTGCCAGGACCCTCTGCGCGTGAGCCACCCTGCATCCGCCCTCGCCCTCGCCCTCGCCGCCGCCGTCGCTGCCGCCGCCGTCGCAGCTGCCGCCATCCATCGCCGTCGCCATCGTCGCCGCCGCCGCCGCCGACTCCGGCGCCGTCGCCCTCGCAATCGCCGCCGCCGCCTCCGCCGTCGTCGTCGCCGTCGCCGTCGCCGCCACCGCCGCCGCCGCCGCCGACGCCATCGCCGTCGTCGTCGTCGTCGTCGCCGTTTTCGGACGTTGTTAATTGCTGTCGTCGGATGTTCCTGCCCCTTTCCAAGCCTCCCAGAAGGTGATGAGGAGGCCCCTGCGTGTCTCCAGAGACCCCCCCCAGTTTGGGGGCTCTGGATCTTGTCGTCGGCTCAACTATACCAGCGAGGGAGAATAATCACAGATTTGTTTCAGGGCGGTCCAGGAACAACGCGGGCATTGCCTCCTCTCTCTCGCACGATTCGGGTTGACCCAACAGGGGGTCCAGCGACAAGGGGGTGGTGCAATAGATTTGGTGCAATAGGTGTGTGGGTTTCGATAGATCCGGGGCGTGCAAGACATTCCAGTGCGCAAATGTATTGCTGGGCTTTCTCGTGCAATACATTACTTGGACAGAGACGCCCCCCTTCCCGATGTCCAGGCCTCTTCAGATGGGGTCGGAGTAGATGGGGTCCGAGGATCGCGCCGCATCGCCGATGCATCGCCGACGCGGCTCGATGTGGAGCCCGATGTTCTCCACGCCGACCTTGCCGATGCATCGCCGACGTCGCCGATGCATCCCCGATGCATCGCCGATGCGGTCCTATCCTCCGGCCCCACCTACTCGGACCCCATCTAGGAGGCCCCTGCCGAGACATCTGAGCATGTCCTCATCGGGCGCAAGTCCTCCTCTCTACCGAGACCTCCATCTGAGGAGGACTTCCTCCATCTGAGAGGGGAGAAGGTCCTCATCTGAGGAGGACCTCCTCCATCTGAGGAGGTCCTCCTCCAGGAGGAGGGGCAGGAGGCAGCAGCCGCGTCGGCGGCAGCGCCGCGCACAGTTCGGCCTCGCGCGGCGCAGGACGACGAGCTGCGCAGGTCGCTCCCGCGCACGCGCCCGCGCGTGCGACGACGCCGACGGCGACCACGACGACGACGACGACGACGACGACGACGACGACGACGACGACGACGGACGAGGACGACGACGACGACAACAGACGACGGTGACGGACGGCGACGACGACGACGACGACGACGACGACTTGCGACGATTGGCGGTGGCGGCGAAGAGGAGGAGGAGGAGGAGGAGGAGGAGGAGGACGGCGAGGATGACGACTGGCGGCAACGGCGAGGGCGATCACGACGCATGCGACTTTGGCGGCGGTCGGCGACGACGATGTCGGCGGCGGCGGAGATTGAGGTGGTGGCGTCGACGAGGCCGACTGTGCGGTTACGACGTCCTGCCCTGGGGGCGGCGCTGGAGGCACCGCCAGCAGGGGCACCCAGCGCCGACCACGGACACCCGCGCGGGCCTCCGAGCAATTTCGTGGAGTTCCTTCTCGGGAGGGGGAATTCCTCTTCGGGAGGAGAAGGAGGAGGAGGAGGAGGAGGAGGAGGAGGAGGAGGAGGAGGAGGAGGAGGAGGAGGAGGAGGAGGAGACCCCAGCTCGTGGGACATGGCATGGCGTCCCATGGAGGCCCCCAGGTCGTGGGGCGATGGGCGGGGCGCGCCAAGGTGCCTCGCCGTCACCGCCAGAGGGGTATTTTGGCTCAAGGCGGCACCCGGGGAGCGCTGAAAATCTCACGTCCTGGGCAGGCCGCCCTGCCTGCCCTGAGACACTTCTCGTTTTCTCGCGCGCAGCTCTGCCTCGAGCTGGACTTCAGTTGTTCCTCTCCCGCGCATTTTGCAGCGACGAGATGGCCGCCGTCCCGCCCCAGGCTTCGACGCCCGCTCTGGGAGGCGTGACGGCGGCGCCAGGTGGCCTGGCTTGGGAGCGCGACCAGCGACGCCGCGTCGGGGCCGAGGCGCTGCGGCACGACCTGGCGGCCACCGACGACGACGCCGCCGCCGACGGCAGGGGCCTCGGCGATGGGGGGGTGCCCGCAGGCGGCCCCTTTGTGGCTCGGGCGCCCGTGCTTCCGCCGCCACCGCAGGACCCTGCGCAACTCGACCTGGCGAAGTACATCATCGGTTCCTTGGAGACCTCGATGGGCAGCCGCATCCAGGGCAGAGAGACGAGCGTGACCAGCCTGCGGAGGACCACGGAGGCGAGCGCACGGGACATAGCGCCCGTGCAAGCCAAGCTGCGAGCCCAGGAGGCCAGGCTCGACGCGCTCGAGTCGAGCAGAGCCTCCTCCGCTGCGAGCACCGCCGCACCGCGGCCTGGGCTTGGCGCCGTTCCCTCCGTGGCGGACCCCTGGAACACCTACATGCAGCAGCAGCGTGACGGTGCAGCAGTGGGCCCTCCGCCGCCAGCGTTGTCCGCTCGGGGCAGGCCGGGGAAGAACACCAATCATGTGGTTTTCGTGGCAGGCTTCCCAGGCACCTGGGACAAGGAGGAGGTCGAGCGCCACTTGACGACGGAGCTGTCCAAGACAGACCCCCTGGAACGGCAGAGGATCACAGAGATCTACGGGGGGGGGGCGCTTCTGCGACCAGGCCAAGGTGGTCTTCGCGGGCACAAGCAAGATGTGGGCCTTCGTGAAGCGCGGGAAGGGGCTGACGATCCCGTGTCCTGGCGCCAAGAACGACAAGCTGTGGCATAAGGTGGACCAGGGCCCCACGAGGTCGAAGTGTCGCGCAGGGTGAGTTGTGCGGTGCGGCTGCTGCGGGAGCTCGGCTTGGCCAGCTCGCTGTGCACGGAGGAGAATTAGATGCGCACGTTCGATGGCGACTGGGGCCGAGGCCAGGTGGTGCACCGTAACAGCAGCGTGGGGCTCCCGATCAAGGTGCTGACGAGAGCTCGCAGCGCCGACCTGTTAGAGATCTGCCAGGATCCTCTGTCGAGCGCTCTGCTTGAACAGGAGCTGAAGGACATGGGGGTTCAGGACAAGCTGGGCGAGACCAACGACCCACCGAGAGCCCAGTGGTAAGGCGTGCGAGGACGGCGCTTCGCTAAGGACATCGGGGATCTCACAGCTCTGGGGTGGAATGCGAGAGGCGTCCTTGCTCGGCAGCGTCAGCGTGTCCTCGACACGCTTGCAAGTGAATTCGTTCCACAATGTATCCTTTTTCAAGAATGGTGCGTTGCTGGTGGCGCTGAGCAGACCTACGACGGCTATGTTGCACATGTGTCCCCTCCAGCCTGTGTTTGGCAAAGATGTGCGATAGCCGTCCACGGATCTCTTGGACCTTCCGTCGTGGGACAGCCTCAGAGTCACGGTCGCTCCATGTACCTGGACTTACAGCTGGATGTATGGGGCCACGCTCGCGCGATCACGAGCCATCTTTTTTCCCACATAGTACGATGTGAATACACGGAGACTATCGAGCAGCGACGGGAGCGTTCGATTTCAATGCCAAGCGATTGCCATGCCATTGTCGGTCTCGACGCCCATGACGGCCTCGGGAGTTCGGACGGAGACTCAGTTGGCCCCTTCTCGGTTTCGGAGCAGACCTGGCGAGGCGAAATGTTGCATGATCTGACGGCGGAGTTTGACCTGGCAGCTGCTAATTCTTTCTCTCGAGGCAAGTGGGGCCAGCGCACGTGCTTCTTCGACAATCGCAAGGAACCCAGACAGATAGACTGCATGCTCATCGACATTGACTCGCTTCGCAAGGTGGACTGCCAGGCCCGCTTCAGAGACGCCACCGAGAGCGATCACCTGCCCATACTGCTACGCTGCCAGGCAGGACGTCCTATCCCCACGATCGAGGGCGCGCTGGAGCTCGCCCTGGAAGATGAGATGGAATGCCCCCCTCGCAAGCCCGCCCCCTGGCAGCTGGACGACCCGAGGGAGTTTATTTAACACCAGGATCTGCGCGGCCCTCCAGATCAGCTAGACGCCGCCCGCCGAGCAGACGTACACCGAGGGCGACTTCACGAACGCCGCGGGGATCTTCACGGACGGGTCTGCACGCCGCGGGCGGCGGCGAAAAGAGCGCCACCGATGCAAGGCCGCTGGCTGGGGCTTCGCGCTCTACCACGTCGCCGGGCCCAATGATCAGGACATGCCGCTGCTGGAGGCTTGCGGTCAGGTTGCCGCAGCGCCGACCGACGCGCGTTTTGTGGGCGCCAGCTGCATCTTCCAACTCTGGCGAGCTCTCCGCAAATGCTGTTGTGGCTCCTGGGGCAGCGCAAATCGGCGGGGGCGCGCGCGCGCACGCGCTCGCATCCTGGCGACCACGGGCTCGACTTACGCCCGGAATCTGCTGCAGGAGGTTTTCCAGCCGAAGGGGAACTTCGAGCTTGCCACGCTGGCGGTCCACCTCTGGAAGCTGTGCCAGCCCCGCTTCGACCTGATCTTCCGATCGGTCAAGAGCCACAATGGGAACGCCGGCAATGAGACAGCCGACCGCTTGGCGAAGACGGGCAGTGACGGGCGCCCCATACACTTGCACTGGAAGCGCCCCTACCAGCAGCCCGACCGGGGTGCCGCGGAGCACCGCCGCTTGCGCGAAGCCCATGCTGAGGCCTGCCGCCGCGAGCGGAAGCGCCGACTGGACACGCTGCGCCGCGAGGGCGCTGGCGCCGAGCTTCGGGCCCACCTCCAGCCGCCGCCCGCCGACGCCTGCCGCGATCGCGAGGGCGTCGCGCCGCTGGGGGCCCCGGCGACGGCGATCTGCAGCGCCGCAGCGGCCGCCGGACACGGCCCGCGCCGAGGCCGGTGGAGGCCCCCGCCTGGGGGCCCGCAGCTGCTGCAACTCCGGGCCCTGGAGAGGGCGCGCGCCCGAGGGGATGGCCCTCGAGTGCGCCGCCTGCTCGGCCCGCCCGTCTGCAAGCTGAAGCGGGTCATGTGGGGGCGGTGCGCAGCCGCCCACTTCGAGCGCCTCTGCGATCGCGGGAAGGCGGACAAGGCCTTCAAGAGCGGTCGCCCTGTGTTCAGCCTGGACACCGCCGATGGCGGCACGGCGGCCACAGGAGCAGCCAGGCGCGCGGAGGTCCACAGGTTCTACACCAGCCTGTTTCGAGATGAACCAGGTGATCGGGCTCTTCCAGAGTGGATCAATAGACATTGGACGGCGCCGGAGCAACAGCAGGAAGTCCCCCTCAGCCTGCCGCTCCTGAAGGCATGCGTTGGTCGATTGGAAAAACAAGTCGTGCGATGAGACTGACGTGATAGTCGGAGAGATGCTGCAGGCCTTAGAGGATGACGTTCTAGAACGCCTATTGGGGGATTTTCGTTTGCGGCTGCAAAATCATGATCCAGAAAGTGTCGAACATGATGGCTCTTGAGACCCAGCGAGGTGTGATGGAGAGTGATAGATGCGAGCAGCAGTTTGCCTTTCGCAGGGCGCATCAAGCTCGTGAAGTAATATGCAGTCTGCGACACCTTGTAGAGAAGTTCTGCGAGTATAAGGACCCCCCTCTGTTGTCGGAGGGTGCATTGGGAAGCTTTGCGATTTTATTAAACATCCTGCCTTGGCGAGGCGTCTCGAGGAACATGGGGCGCCCCGTGTTGCGACTGATTTTTTGGATCAGGGAGACGCGCAGGTCGCACGCGCGCGCCCGTCTGCCTGGGAATGCCCTCGCAGACCCGAATCGGCGAGGGAAGTCCCTGATCCAAGGCGACCCCGCGGCTCCCGAGCTTAGCAGTATTTTCCTCGATGAACGCATTGGTGAATTTCAAGGCCTGCGTCGAAAGAACGGCCGGGGGCTGTGTTTGACCTGCCCTGGTGAAGAGGATGAAGTTTTAGGTGTTTTGAGCTTTGCCGATAGTTTCTGGCTTCTCGCACGCTCGGCCTCGATGGCCACGGCGATGACCGAGGAGTGGCTGAGGATTTTAAATGAGCGAGGTCTGGAGGTCCCAGTTGACGAGATGGAGCGGCGCGATGCTTATCCTTCTCATATCGGCACGCTTCGCGCCCGTCAACGGATCATTCCCTGTAGAGAGCGTGCTGTAGGCCTCAGAGTCTGGGGTGCTTTTATAGCGTTTGGCATGAAGTGCGTGACAGAATCCAGCGCGCGTGGCGCACTTGGGCAGCCCACCGAAATACTTTCACAAATCCGAAGACTAGTTTACAGAAAAGATTGCGCACCCTAGATCGATGTTTTAGGGCTGCCATCACATATTGTATTGGCCTCCGGCCAGTGCCGCCGATCCAGGGCGCCCCTGATGTTATTGTTGTTGAAATGGGCGATGACGACGACAACGGACAACCCGCGGTCGACGAGCGGGGCAATTACGACGACGACTGACGAGGGAGCTAATGACGACGAACCGACAACGACGACGACGACGTCGACGACGACGACGACGACGACGACGACGACGACGACGACGACTGACGGCGAACGGCTGCCGACGACCGACGACGGGCGACGGCGGCGGGTGGAAGGTTCTTCGTTCATCGCTTTCGCTTCCGAGCAATACCAAGTCAGGCCGTGCACCTTTGGCCCGGCAGCGCGTGAGTGAGCGCCTCTTGGAGCCTCTTGGTTCTTGGGGCTTCTTGGGGGGTCTTTGGGCTTCTTGGGGGCCTCTCGGGGTCCTCTTGGGAGCCTCTTGGGGACCTCTTGGGGGCCTCTGGGGGCCCCTTGTGGGCGCCTCGGGGGGCATCTTGCGAGCTCTCGGGGTCATCTTGGAATGGGGGACTAGAAGGGTCCGTTCGGATTCACCCTCTCGAGGCCATCTTGGGGGCCTCTCGGGGTCGTCTTGGGGGGCCTCCAGGGCTATATTGGCTTATTGGGGGCCTCTTGGGCTGTCTTGGGGCGATCTTGGAGGCCTCTTGGACCGTCTTCGGCGTTTCTAAGACGGAAAAGGCGATAATGTTAAAATGACTCGGAACTTATTCGCAACTTTATTATTGTGCCCTCTTGGGGCCCTCTTGGGGGTCCTCTTGGGATCTCCTTGAGGCGTCTTGGAGGCCTCTTGGGCCGTCTTCAGGCCATCTTGGGCGTCCAGGAGCTCTCTTGGGCCGTGTCGGTCGCCTCCTGGACCGTCTTGGTGGCCTCCTGGGCCCTTTTTGGCCCGTCTTGGGGCGGTTTGGGATTCCGGGGGGGGGGGAAGAAAGGGTGGACCCCATGAACCCCCCCCCCCTCCCCCCCCCATTCCAACCCTCCTACCCCCGGCAGGAGCCCCCCGCCCCCCCCCACCCCCCCCCCCAGCAGCGCTGAGGCTAAGGTTGTAGTTGACATAAACTCACACGCCGGATCGGCGGATTGCACAGGTAGCCTGCATATCACAGTCTCTGCGATGAATCGGATCTCCAGGTGCCGCAACGCCATGCTTAGGATAACGATCCGCCCCCCACGAGGCGAGAACGCTGCAGAGCATATGAAGGCTGCGATGGCCACGGTTAAGGAGGTCCGTCTCAGGTATAACATCGAGCCCTGGCCACAGACTTGCCGCAGGATGCAGCGCGGACGGGCTGGCCACCTGCAATCTGTCGCCCTGTCCGCTCCAGACAGAGTTGCTTATCGAGTGTTGCGTTTCCACGACCGCTCGTGGGTGACAGCCATGACCCGCTGGCAAGGCTCGCAGCTGCACCACCGTGCCGTCAGGATCTGGCGGTGGGAACGTGATTTTTACAAGTTTTACGGGGGCGAGAGGCTCCTCCAGCCCTTCCAAGGGCAGTCTTGGCGAGATGGCCAAAGGGCCTGGCTTGAATGGCGTAAGAATTTCAGATAACTCCTGATGCCGCTTGTATCTATGACCTCTGTGTGCGGCGTCGGGCCCTGGCGGCGCCCCTGCAGGGCGCCTTCGCAACGCAACGCAGCGCAGCGCCAGGGGGGATGTGCCGCGCCCCGTGCTCCGACGTCTGGGAAATATGCAGTATCGCGACACAAATCACGACCCGAGCCCTCGATTTCAGCAGCGCTGGAGAACACATCATCATCATCATCATCATCAGCATCATCAGCATCATCAGCATCAGCATCGTCGGCATCATCTTCATCTATGTTCCGCAACTCGGTCTTCTTCTGTTTACACGA